TGTTTTGAGTCCATCAACTACTGATCGAGGCCTGTCAAATCCTCCAGCTTCTGAAGTCACTCAACAAGGGCTGAAAAAGCTTGGTGCCATTTCTAGTGAAAAGACCCCCAACCCTTGAATAGGGTAGTCTGAGGCAAGTCAGTATCTGGAGCCAAATGCTTAAAGGACTACATTATCTAGGTGGAGAGACGTGTTATATACTGAATAGTGTGTGTGTGTATGCATACACTCTTGCAAGTAGGAGGGTCTGTTCCATGTTGTGCCTGTTTCCTGTTGCTGTCTACCGTTATGTTTGAAGAGCATTCTTTTGTTTGTATAATAAAAAGTAGTGTAATGACTGGGGGAGGAGTGAAAACTAGAAGTGACTGTGCTTTTGACAATAACACAGCCATTGATGCTGGCTCACCCATGTGTTGCTACATCCAGATGTCCTGTTATGCATCTGTCAATAAAGGTAGTTGCTCTCTTGTGCCTTGCAAGATTACACTGGGTGCATCTACACAAGATGCTAGCAGTGCATTAACCTAATAACACTGTGTAGTAGTTTGCTGGGTAAAAACTGTGCTAAAACACTACGCAGTAAGCATCACTAACAAACTGTGTGCTGGTGCTACTGCACAGTATCATCAGTTACTGCTCATTGATTTAGTTCTTGGTTAACCAAGTAGTAAACTTAATGCACTGTAACTATGGCACGTTAATGAATGTGTACACATGTCCACTGGGATACACAAACAAACCCCTGCAATGCACAAAAGCTTCCAAGCTAAAAATAATTCAAGTTCTGTGCCTCTATTAGTTTGTAAATGTTCCTGAATTATTCTCTTCCAAATGTTAGAAACCTTTTTCTTCTAGTTTCCAATTTACATTTATTTGAGACTAGTTTATAACCACTTGGCCTTGTACCAAAAGGGCAAATCCAAATTAGTGTGCACGTGCAGTTTGCAGTGCCACAAACTTGTCTGTGGTGCCAACTGCATACACAGCACATGCAGGCAGTCACTGCACTGATAATTTGCAGTACGGTAGGTGTTTTGACACTAGAGCCTGCTGTCAAAAAAAACTTGCACCTGAAAAACATGGGGTGGCACACAGGATGGCAGTGTGTGTTGCCCAAACCCAGAGCCTGACTGGCCAAAGCCATACTTTGGCCATCAACCAGGCTCTGCACACCCAGATCAAGCAATTTGGAAGCCTACCAGTACCTCTATCATCAGAATAAAATAAATTATGAATATCTATATGCTTTGGTGTTCGCTTTTGGGTTTTTTTATCAAAGGAGAAACAGAGCTCCCCCTGGTCCCTTTGCTAACCAGGATGTGGGGACAGCTGCCCCTACTGCCACAGCTCCTGGCAAGAAGTCCCATCCTGTTTGGTAGTTGGGCGCACAGGGTGTGAGATGTGGCGGGAGGGGGGGGGGGGGGGGGGGTTGATTTGCACAAGCAGGGAGGGAAGGGGTGAGGGTGGTTGGTGTGATGTTCTTGTCTGTGTGTGTGGGGGAGGAGCTATGTGGGGGGTTTGTGGGGGAGTGTGTGAGGGGTACATATAGGGTGGATGTGGGGGAGTGTGGGTGAGTTTGTGAGTGTGGGGTTTGTGGGAGGGCTTGAAGTGGAGCCGCCACATACTGCCCCCACCACTTTCCCACCCCCTGCAGTGCTGGTACTAGCAGCCAACTAGGCTGTCAGGGTCATGGCCTGACTGCAGACACAGCCCTGCAACAGCACAGTGACGCCTGACCCAGGGTCTGTACATGAAGAATGGGCCCGGTCCGGCCCGACCCATGACTTTGGGCAGGACTGGGACAGTTCTTGCCACTACGTGCAGCTCCTGTCCAAAGCCACGTACTAGTGGAGTGGGCCAGGCTGGGTCAGGTCCATTTGGCACGTAAAGACAGGCTGTGCCTGCGGCTAGGCCATAGTCTCAATGGCCCAGCTGGCTGCTGCTGCCAGTGCCACAGGGGGAAGGTGGGAGGGTAGGCATGTGGAGGTCCCCCTCAACCCCTCCCACAAACCATACACTCCAACCTGCACACACCTCCACATCTCAGCTTACCTGAGAGAGCACCTGGGTCTGGGTCATGCTGCAGCCTTACTCTACTCCTGTTTGCCTCAGCATGCTAAGGCAGCATGCTGGGGCAGTAGAACCACCATAGAGCATCTCTCTGGAGGACCAAGCCACTGGTTGCCTCAGGGCACATTCCTGGACCTCATCCTGCTCCACTTTTTTTCCACAGGTTATTTTTGTTGATACCTGGACTTACAAGTTTAGAGCCAGTGTGGGGAACATTTTCCCATTCCCAGAGTACTTCTTGCAGCATCTCAAACTTCTTTGAGACACTGCAACAGGGATGTGTGCACTTATTTGGATGCACCCAAATATATCTTATTAATCTCCTAATATGAATCCCTCCTATTTATTTATTAAGAATAATCACAGATCATTTTAATCTTTGCTTTGCTAAGATAAACTAGCCAACATATTTTAATTTCCCCTCATAATTTAAAGCAGCATCATGTGAATAGTTTTCAAAACAAAATTAAACTCTATAGGGGAGAAGAAGATAATATTTGTTTTCTTTCCTTGTTTGATTGAGCTTCCTTTACTGAAGGTGAGCAAATCAATCCTGTAGGAATCAGGTTGTCAGTAGCAGAACTCTGCAGAGAACAGGAATTCAATTTTACAAATAATTTCAAAATATATTTTGTGCTGATGAAGAATGAAGCCCAAGTGTTTCAAAAGACTATACAAAACGTGTGTGCGTGTCTGTGTGTGTGCATGTGTGTTGCATGGTAATAATAAAGTTTAAACATTTCTTCTTGATTTTGATTTCATAATGAAATGTAAGAATAAATTAAACTGAGTGAGAAAAATTATTTTTAAGGTAAACATTTCAGTCTTCTGAAGAAAAACCCCATTGTTTCATGTTTCATTGTTGTTGGATTTTTTGTTTTTGTTCAAAACAAAATGTTGGTGAAATGTGTTACAATTTCATGAAATTATTTCATTTTCAACAGAACTACATTTTTCATTGGAAAAATATATTTTCCATTATGTCTGCTCAGTATTTCACACCAAAAACAAAGAGTGTTGAAAATTGCTGTCATTTTGTAATATTGACTGAGGTTATAGAATCATTTAGTGCTATAGAGTGTTGTATGACCTATCACTAAAATGTATATATTTTATTTGGTTATCTGGCTTACATACTTGCATATCATTGACTGTTGTGTATAATTTTATGTTCAGTTTTGTACTGAGATCCTTAGGTAAACTAAACAGCTTATGCCACTCTGGTTTTAAAGGTAGTTTACCTAGATACTTCAGGAGTCTTTCCTCACTTTGCATAACCGTGGGCATGTCTACACGTAGAACTAATTTGAAGTAGGCTCCCTGATCAGTAAAAATACTGTGCAGTAAGTCTACTGGGGAGCACGTCTACATGTGCTCCCTCTTGGGAGCAGATATACTCCTACCCTGCTCTGCTCCTCTGCAGCAGCCAAGGGGCAGGGGAGGGGAGGTCCAGGTTCCCTCTGGGTGCTAGCCCAGGGGTTGGCAGGGAGCACAGGGCCAGAAGACCACTGTTTCCTGGCCCTGTACACATCAAGAAGGGTCCTGATGAACAGGAGAGCTGCTGCTGTAGAACTCTCCCACCCCATGCACATGGAGATAAGCTCTGTGCCCAGTGGTACTTCCTTGAAGCTAGCTGGGACATGTCCCCATCTGGGTCAGATCCCAGCCAGCTCTGGGCTGTGCCCCTCCCCCACAGCTCTTTCTGAGCCCTGTACCACAATTGGGTGATTAGGACAGGGGCCTGGGAAAGGTTTCCTCCCCGGTAGCTCCTTCCCAGCCCTGTGCCCCTATTGGGTGATCCTTGCCGAGCTGGAGACTCATGGCTAGTTGCCCCCCAGTGGGACAGCTCCTGGCCACCCCAGTTGAGTGGGGATTCCCTGCCCAGCCAGGGGCTTGGTGCTAGCTGCCCCACTGGTAGCTCCCCAGTCCTGGTGCTGCTCAGCTCTCCACTCCTGTGGGGAACCAGGAGCCCCACAGCACTCGGACAGGGGGGCAGAGAGAGACCCAGTTCCTGCACTGATTGGCTTCCAGCCAGGGAGCTGCCTGCTGCCAGGGCAGGGACTGTCCCAGCCAGGCTTTGTGCTCAAAACCCACCCCAGCTGCAGGCAGGTCCTGGGGGCAGGGAGCAATCTCCCAGCCCCTGCTCTGATTGTGGAGCTGGGGCTAGGAGCTGCTTGCTGCTAGGGCCAGGGTTCATTGTCTTAGCCCGGGCTCTGAGCTCAGAACCTGCCCTGGAAGCAGGCAGCTCTCGGGGAGGTGATTATTCCCCCAACCCCTGCTGTCCAGCATGCCCAGGAGCAAATTTGCTCCTGGTCAGCCGTCTGTATGTGGTCTACTGTACAGTCAGTACCATGTAGTTAATTTGCAAGTGCCAGTAGCAAACTAACCCTGCAGCTGACTGACTGCGCAGTAAGCGTTGGCACGTATAGATGGTGATGCTTCACTCTGCAGTCAGTTGTTCAACTGTGTGGTAAAGCATCTCATGTAGGTGTGCCCCATGAATATTTATTTAGTTTTTGTGTCTGGATATTATGCATCTACAGTGTAACTTCTTGAGAGAAAGAACAGAAAGATGAGAAGATATCGTACCTAAAACTCTAAAATATTCTTTTGAATGAAATACTGATGCATAAAATAATTATTTTAAAACACTAAGTAGGGCTTTGAATCCTGATAAGTCCTCTTAAAACCATACTGTGGTAAGAAATTGTAATGTATTCAAGCACAAGACTGCTTCTTAAGAAATTGTTTTATTTTATTTTTTTTGCTATATAATAGTGTGTCAACCAGGCTACGGTGAAACTATTTTGAAAAGCACATTTTAAAGAGTAGCAAAATTAAAAAAAAACAAGTAAAAATACAAAATAACCTACCGTCTTGATATCTGAATATATAGAAATAATATTGTGTTTTCATTTTTTTCCCCAAAGATCTTGGTGGTTATGGCAAATTTTACACCAATGAATGGTACAATGGGCTACAGATTGGATGAATTACGGTCATCTGCAACATGACATAGCGTACCATACCTTTTTCTTGTCACTGGTAAGTTTTGTTGATAAACTACAGCTTTAATATATGCTTCATATTGACTTCAGGTTATTAGAATATTTTATATTGGATCCATGGCATGATATTGCTATACTTGGATGCATTTGCTTTGCTTGCCTACAATAATCTGTAGTTATTAATTTGCTTTGTATGTGGAAAACAAGTATTTTTTCCATAAATCATGAAAAAAATGACAATATTTGAGGGGGAAAATCCCATTTAAGCATGGTTTTAAAGTGGTTTGTCATTTCTTGCATAATTATGTAGTAAGTGTAATAGGACAGACTTAAGCCCTGGACAGAGGAAGCATTTTTGCTAGTATAATTGGCATTACACCCCTGTTTAAAAACCCCCAACAGCAACCTGCTCCTCCCCCACACCAAAAAACAAAACAAAACACCCCAAAACACCACCAAACTAGTGGAGAAATTATGAAAACCTCTAGATTGGGGGAATTTAATCTAATTTGGTGGAATATTACATTGAAACGTTCAGGAGTAAAGCTCTGTTCGTATAAATTACAGGTTTGGTTTTCATCCGTTCATGTATTTCTTAGGGTAGCTATTTGCTAAGGATAGGCTGTTATCTAATCTCCTGCTACCTAGCAGCAAGGCTCAGCAACAGACATCTCCCATGTGAGCTATGCTGCAGTAGAAGGGTATGTGGATATAAAACTGGTATAAATTACACTGGGATATGTTAATTTGAGGATGTTATACTAAGGCAGCTTTATACAATGAAAGCATAAAGGAATCTTAAAGTGTTTTAATTTACTTTTATTTTTAAGGTCTCTTTACGTTAGTGCAGTAAAGCTCTTAGTAAGTTAAAATCGACTCCAAAGAACTGAAATGTTAATTATATATTGGATCAGACACATTAAAATAGTCTAAGTTTCTTTCTATCATTTATTACAACAAAACATTAAAAGGGACAAAATATATAGTAGAAACTTTTTTTTTTTTTTACTAACTTTATATCCAAAAATAAGCTACTTATGGTATTCAGGAGCAATGTTAGGTATTGTTTATACAGTAACATTGAAAGCAAGGCTCCTTGTAGTATAACTGAGCCATCATTTCTGATTTATATGGTGTCCAGACATGCAATAATGAGTTCCAAAGTACTAGTTGTTCCTCTTGCTGATCTTGAAATTAAACATGGACAAACCAAATTGGATACCAAAATGTTCAGCAGACTAATATCTAACACAAGAAATAGCTGGTCTGTCTCATAGTCAAATTTCAGTTTAGGAATTAGAGACTAAAATTTCCACTGTCTTGTTCCCTTTTTAAAAGGGGTTTGGTAGTAGTAGCTATGTTAAAAGGTTAGAAATATAATTATAAGGAAAGCTTAGTTTTATCTGAATAATGAATGAGTACTGTTATGGTTTTTATACAAATACGTATTACACTAACATTAGAAGATGATAGGCCTGCATGCCTACATGGAATGTACCTTTATTATTTTTTTTTCCCTATATATACTTCAGGAACTTTGCTGTACCTTAGTGTAGCCAAAAATATCTGTTGAAGAGAAAAGGAATAATAAACTCAGAAAAAAATGTACTCCTACATAGAATAAATATTTCTGGCATTAATCAGAATTATTCTTTATGTTGCATGTGCATTCAGTAATGAGCTGAGGATATGTCAATAGTGTTCTACATTCTTCTTTATATTTGCCATTTCTGAGTTGTAGTGACATTTATCAACCAAAGCTTCCTCTTGTGTTCTATACAAAACAGATATAGACTTTTTTCCAATTAATTATTTTTTTGGCAGAAATGTGCCTGGCAATAGTGCAATATGACAGATATATAAGTAGTCCTGGTTACACCCATTGTTCAGTATTCTGCATAATTTTACTAGAGATCATGTAAAGGGAATGTATATGCCCTTTTGATTTCAATTTCATCCTAAAATACCTATGTCAATTTCAGCATAATATATGCATACTTATTGTTCTGTCTGTAATTTCACATTCTTATATATGTTGTATATATGCACTGTGTGTGTGTGCACTATAAGTAATACTGTGTCTGTACAACAAGATCTTGGTAATTTCATGGCAATCATGAAAGTGGATCTTGTCAGCCTTGATGAGCCAAGACATAAGAAAAAGAAAAGTATTTTGTTTAAAGTGTATTCATAATATTAGTGCATGTTTAGTTTAGTTACAAATATCATTAATTATTCTCACAGGAAGAATATATTTTAGAAGTGTTTTTTCCCT